CAGAAGCACCCAACTTAGGAGTTCCTAGACCAGACAGGGCCTGTGTCTTCCCACCCAAAATCAGCAGGATGTCCCCTCAGGGCAAGCTCCCCTGAGCAGAGAAGTTGGTGCTGGCCCCTCCAGCTATGACAGAGCTGGGGTGGGACGGATGGGATGGGATGAGGGCAGCAGTGGAAGAGCCTCTCTTCTCTCCTGACCCTGCCCCACTCCTGCCCATTTCTGCTTAGGAGCTTTTCTGGCTGCAAGGCTTCACTCAACTTGCTCCCATCCTCTGAAGGGTTCCCAGCAGAAATGCTCCCACTCTGCAATTGCTTCCTCTACTTTTGGAGACATAATACTTAACCAGTTTTTAATCCTTTCAGTATTTGCTGGCTTCATTTTTAAATAGATCTTGTTGCTTAATCAAAATGTCAGGCAGAATCAATCCCAGTTTCTCACAGAAGTCAGAGTGCAGACAGAGTGCTGCCTTCTCCTGGCACAGAGAGCTGAGGGAAAGCCTAATGGGCAAGGGCTCCCTTCTGCCACCCAGGCAGGCTCCCTGCCCAGACTCATGTAGTTACAGAAATCCCGTGAAGATATAACTTTATTCTCAAGCACCTAAGTTTGGCAGGAGCATATGTTCATCCTGCCACAGCTCTCCTACTTTTCCCAGCAGTACAGTTACTAAAGTGATGGAAAAGGGATGGGGAGATCAGTAAAGGAAGATGTCAGGCTGGGATAGAACCACACCAAGAGTTGTTGGGGGCTGGTCCAAGAAAGCTAAGACAGGTATTAATGGGCTGTTGATATTTTAGAAGATCAGTTGGACTGGAGGGCAAGATCCTTGAAGATCTATATGAGGATTGATCTTCCATATTTTCACTAGCAAGCTGGCATAGGAAAGAGGGGTACCTTAGTGTCATTTGCTAATGAGACAAACTAGGAGGGTTTTGAAATACAGAAGAAGAGTAGAGAAACTGGGCTACCTTGAAGGCAGGAGTGGTGGAAATGGGATGAAATGCAGGGAAACATGATGAGGTGTTGCCAGCAGGAATTGCTGCAGCAGGCAGGGAGGTCCTCAGCTGGCAGCAACCAGGGAAAAGCCTGAGCCATTGCTCCAACATGAAAAAGGCAGATCTTATGTTTGGGTAATTGGTTCAGCAAAAAAATATTCATGAAGCATAATGGCAGGGCAGTGATGGGCCACAGCTGGACTCCAGAAGACATTTTCAGCTAGAGAGCATGAGATGAATTTTAATGGAAAGGAGGCAGAGCAGGTGGTAGAAGAACAGGGAACAGGACCTGGCAGTGGCTGGCTGGGGCAGAGGCAGATGGTTCCCCACAGATACTACTGGGGCACAGGAGAAAAGATTCTGTTTGAAAAACTGAATTGGCTTGGCTGCACTAGTTGCCTGTAGTCTGGACCTATCGAGGGAATTATGCAGGGGAGTGATAAAAACAATCCCTTTTTCCCTCCCCACACATATATTCTTGATAATGAATTGCTGCTATGCTTGTCAGCTTGTGAGCAGTTTTAAATGGTGTCTCTGGCTTCTCTATTTTCTTGCTGCTGCTACTTCTCCACTCTGATGATCCCAGAAAAGCACAGGAGCTATCCTGTGAAATGCAACCTTTTTGCCACCTTGATGTGCTTTTAAGACCAACAAGTTGCCTGTGCAAAATCTGGAGGCAAAGCCATGCCTGAGCTAACATGTATCAGCTAAGTGCCCCAAAGCTTTGCTTGGGCATAATGAACTATTCCCACAGCACCTGGGCAAGCTCTGCTTCACTGTATTGCCCACCTTCCACACTCCCCCCAAGCATGCAAATGGGATGCCTTAGTGGCAGGGCAGAGGAGAGCCCTCAATTACAAGTAATCAAAAGGCTGGTCCTCATGTGCTTTGCAGCCCCTCAGCCTCTGCTTTTCAGTCACCTTTTAATTTTCATCTTTTCTGGGGTCAGTATTTATAAGCACCTGTCTGTGAAGGAGTTTAGGTGACACCTGAGCTAAACCTCACTGCCCAGGTGCAAAGGGAGAGATTCACCATCTGATGCCTGGAAGTGCCATGCGGAGCAGCAGAGCCTGCCTCAAACTCATCTCCCAGCACCAGCTCAGTGTGAGAGCAGCATGACATTCACAAATCAAGTGCTAAAATTTCTCCCCCATTTAAGCTCTGCTCAGCCACGAACAACATCAGTAATGAACAAGCACCCACCATAGTGGTGCCAACTGGCAGTGATCCAACATGGCCTGCTGCCATCAAGGCATAAGGAGGGAATGAGTATTATTTTCCCCACCATGCCCCATCCAGGCATCCAGCTAAGGGAGGAAAAGCATTACACCTAGATCTCTTCACCAGGGCTCTAAAAAACGTTTTCCAAAGGGTTGTGGAGCCCAGTACCCAGAAGAGATTCATCCTGCAACTGGCCAGGTGTGATGCATGCAGCGCTCCCAGCTCAGGGAGAGTTGGGTGATGTGAAGCAGAAGCCATTCCTTCACCCTGCAGAGCACTGGACCACACCACAAAGGCTTCCCCAGGCTCTCCTGATGCCCACCTGCCTCCAGCAGCTGACCTCTACTGCACCATGCTGATGGATGCCCCAGCACACGACTGTGCAGTCAGGCACAGTCTGCCTCAGCTTCATGGCCACCCAAATAGGACCCATGTTGGCACCCACTGTCAGGAACCCTACCCTCCCTGCTGCTTCCCTTGGCTCGGGCAAGGCAGGGAACACTCTGGCGGTCCTTCATCCATTTTCACAGCTGCTGCCACAACCACCACTGCTGCTGAAAGCAGCTATCTCCAGCCTCCAGCAGTTTGGAGACATAGGTAATCTTTCTGGAGTAATTACCAGTTCATTCCCTTAGAGGAGTTCATGGCAGCTAATTACTTCAATTACTTCCCAACACAGAGCCCAGGGCTCTGCAGCAGCACACAGCACTGCTTGGCAGCTCCCTGCTCCTTATGTGCCTCCCTTCCCAAGCAGCAAGTGCCCCAGACCCCCTCCTCTAGGACCACAGAGGACATGCTAAGTGGATGGACAGTGGTGAGATCCCACCATCATCAAGGATAAGGAGCTAAATGGTTTCTTAAGACATGCCCCAGATGCTGGTACAACACGGCTGCCCCACCACAGGACAACCCTGAGCACCCCTTTCTCCTGCAGGCTGCTGCAGAGGAAAGCTCAGCAGAACTGCCTAGCATAGGGCCCCTCTGCCTAGGGGGCTCATAGGGAGTGAAGCCAGACTACATAAGGAACACAACTGGGCTGCAGCAGTCTGTGACAGGTTTCAGACACCTTAAGGAAAAATAAGCTATTAACAAGCAAGTTTGGGAAGAGGTAGGGCAGAGCAGGAGGATGGATTTGGGACAGACACCACAAGTGTTATAGCATCTCCTCTCAACATGGTCACCAAAGCTCATAATGCCCTATCAAAGGCCTGAGAGTAAGATTAGATTCAGTCCTGCTGACCCAGCCTCAGGAGCTGACCTTGTAAATGCAGAGCTAGGGAACCTCTCCCCCCACATCTGTAGGTTCCTTTGACCTCCGAGAGCTTCCTGAGAATCAAGACCAGGTAATGCAGTTGTCACCACAACCCTCAGTGGTATCAACCAGCCCTAGACATCCTACAGCTTAGTCCTGCAGAGCCATGCTGATAGACATCACAGAAGAACTCGCCCACCAAGGGGATGAGGGTTTTTAGTCAGGCAGAGCCCTTCTCAGCCTTACATCACAGGATGCTCACATGGCAGAGGTGCAAGCAGCTGGTTTCAGCCTCCCAAGTACACCACCACCATTCAGGGCAAGACCAAAAACATCTCAGACATTGTCTCTGCATCCCTGCTGTCACACAGGGCTATCTCCAGCCTTGCATCTGTTCTGGAAGGCAAGTCTTAGGCTCTTACCAGGGAGAGCACAGCTCCAGCCAGGCCTCCAGAACAGCAGACACTCCCCATGAGGAAGCAGAAGACAACCTTCTCAGGAGGAGGAATTGAGGTGTGCACAGGCTCTCCCTGCCCATTAGCCAGTTTTAGAAAGCAGAGAGGGAGGAGAAAGCCTTGACTAGAAATCATGCAGCGAGAGTGAGAAACCACACAGGACTGCGAGTGGTAGAGTCTTTATTGCTTTGGTTTCTTACAAGTGAGATATACGCATCCATGTTGCTTGCAGCACAGCACAGGGGATGCAGGGACACTGGGCACACAAGTTGCAGTTGCTCTGCATTCTCCTAGACATCAGGGAAGAGAGACCCTAGAAAAATAAAGCAGCTGCCAGCTGAGAGAATAAAGGTTTGTGTGAAAAGTTTATTGCTGCAAGACCTGAAAGGTCAGGGACTCCAGAGCCTGCAAAAGACACTGACTCCTATCTTAGCATTCCCAGCATACAGACTACAGTGAGGACACAAACAAGTCCCCTCATGTACCAGCCTCTGCTCCATCTAGGAAAGATCAGGGCAGCCAGAGGCAGGTGTTAAAAGCCAGAGCTTCACTCATCCCAAGTGAAGCTTCCATTCTCCTTAGCTGGGAAAAGCCCAGACCAGAGATGCTTCTTACATAAAGCTGGGCACCCCTCAAACCTCTCCTCACCTACAGCTGAGCCAGTACTACTCTGCTCACTGATGAGATGCTAGGCACCTCCATGTACATCCTGCACATCCACATTACTCAAGCAACTGCCTAGGGCAGAGAGACATTCACATCCTCCATCTCATAAGGCCCAGCAGCATCCCATGACACTGGTGCAGTACTACCTCCCTTGCTCATCCTCTGAGCACAAAGAGAGGAAAATTATCTGGCCCCTCTCCCTTGGGATACTCAATGCCTTCTCCTTCCACTCCTCCAGCCTCTGGGAATAGGCACTGTGAGGATGCTCCCATACCTGATTGAACCACACAAAAAAGAAAGCCAGAGACTAGGAACAAAACAAAACCAAACCAGAACAAAAATTAGCAAGGCCTCAATCTGGGCACTGCACCAGAGAGCCATCAGCAGAAGAGCTGTGGCCAAGCCAGCTGGCACTCAGGCATCCACCAATGTCAGCCCATCGTGCAGGGCACGCTTCCACATGTAATAGGTGGAACGGGCCGTGAGTGGGAAGCGGGCACTGAACTCCTTGTAGGTTGGGAAGGTCTTCGACTCAAAGCGCTGCTGCAGGAATAGCTTGGCCTGTGCCTTGAATTGGGCAGTGGCGATCACATCCATCACAAACATCCGGCTGTTGGCTCTCTCTGACATGGCACAGCCCGAAACAGTGGTGTTGCATGGCATTGCAGGTACTGGCTTATCTATGTGCTTAGTGGCTACCTCCAAATGGCACTGCGGTTTGAGGCCTGGCTCTGCTCTTGGAGGTGCCAGGGAAGCCACACGGTTCAATGGCAGCCTGGAGCTGCTCCAGGGCAGGCGATGCTGCCAAATGGTTTGGCCACTGCCCTTCCAAAACCAGTAGGCTGTGGAAGAGAGAGATGGATAGCGCAGGCGGTACTTGCAAAACGGCAGCTGCCATTGCTGGACCTGCCTCCTGGCCACATCTCGCAGCCGCTTTCTCCAGCACAGAGAAGGATGGAGCTGCAGAAGACTCCTGGATGTTGACCGGTCTCCATTCCGTCTCTTCCTAGGCACACTGCTTGGCTTCAACTGCAGGAATGGCTTTCCTATAGCTAGAGTTTTCTGGTTATCCAAGGGTGACTGGGGGTGTTTGAAGTTGGGGTTCTCCTTGATTGCTTTTCTGCGCCAGTTATAGTAAGTGGACCTGGAGATGCCAGGGAAGCTGCGTTTGAAGCATCTGTAAGGCACCAGAGTGTTCATGGAAATGCATTTCTCCAGGTAGGATTTGGCTCCTTGCATAAAGATTCCTGCTTGAATGGGATCTAGGGAAGGACTTGAGGATTTTAAGCTCCCCTGTGGATTTGCTGGCTCATTCACATCGACCTTTCTTGGGACAGGCCTGTGAAGTTCCTGCAACCTATGGGCCTCAGACAGAGCAGAGGCATCACCATTGACCATGCTCTGCATCTCATGCTTCCAGGCATAGTATGTGGATCGGGAGATTTCTGGAAACATCTGTCGGAAGTGCTGGAGGGGGATTATATTGCCCTCCTGAAAGCAGGACTGGAGGAAGTGTTTAGCTGCAAACCTGGCAGCCGCTTTCTGCCGGTGTTCACGAGACTGGCGCTTCCAGCGGTAGAAGGTGCTCTTGGTAATGCTGTAGCGGTCACGCAGGTTGGAGTAGGTCAACTGGGGGTCACTGTTCAGCAGCTCAAGGGTCTTCATGGGCTGGACAGGAGGCTCTGGAGAAGGTACTGTGGGTTCCAGCTCCTCCAGGCCAACCACAGCCACAAAGTACTGTGCTTTGAAGACCTGCCGGGAGAGCTGCTGCCCTGACCACATGATGTGTAGTGTGGAGGTTCGTGGGCCACACTTCCTGGGCCGGATAAGCCGGTTAAAATAGGGTCGGATCTTCAAGTTGCTCATGGGATAGATGGAGTAGATGTTACATTGCAGTACTGAGGCAAGAGCGTAGACATGCCACATGTTGGCAAAGGTGCCAGGAAAACAGGTAGCTTTGATATCAGCATCAAAGATGGCTTCCAGGATAGCCATGGGGAGGCTGGTCATCTCCGGGGTCTCCTCAGTGCAGAGGGAGTAGCGGGCAGCCTGCAGCATCACTTTGGAATCTATCATGCCATTCAAGTAGTATTGTTTGTGCAGCAGCATCTCCACCACAGTACGCACCTGCAGCTCCAGGCTGAGGCTGGGGTTGCCCCAGAGCAGCACACTGGCAGCCTCAAAGAGACGGTTTCCCTCACCTTTGCAAACGAGAGGCAACATGTTACTTGGGGCATCCTCAGGATAGAGGCTCCTGGCTACCCGGTCAACCTCCAGCTCCTCTTGGAACTGACTCCCACAGTAACCAGGTAGGGAAAAAGATGACAAGGTCCTCTCTGCCTCCAGCGCAGCACTGGTAAGGCCTTCCAGACCAAAGCATTCGGTGGCTTCCTGTAGCTCCTGCAGCACAGACTGCACCAGCTGGTGCCTCTGGATCATCCTGGAGAATGGCAAATAGAAAGAAGTCACTGGAGATGAAGTGCACACTCTAGATGGGCTGTGGCCTGGCCTCCAGGTCCAGCTCCTGCCCAAAGGACAGTATGGGGGAAAAAGGTAGAGGAAAGGCCACTATGCACATTTCAAGGACAAAGGAGGAAGCCTCAGTCCTCACCAGGCATACCTGGGAGTGGGACATGGGCTCGGCTTGCTCACCAGTGACCTCCTGTGGGCAGCGCATATGGCACACAGCCTCAGCTTGTCTAAACTAAGCAAAACTAAGGAGTGACTGCACCCATAGGGTGGGAAGCCAGGTCACCTTCTACAACTGCATACCAGGCTTTGGCCTGGCATCACCCCTACACCCACCTCTCCCACTAGTAGTCTCATTTCCATTTTACTACTTCCCTACCAGCACCCAGAGAGAACAACTTCCCTCAAAGGGAAAATATTCATCATTTCTGCAGGAAAGGACCTGTGACAGAACCACCCTGTGTGGAGCCATGGACACACCTAGCTCAAGCTGTTCAAGCTCAACAGAACAAGCGGTAAGGAGTGTGCCCCCTCCCTCAGTGCAGGGCACTGCAGCTGCACCCATTGCATGCAATCAAAAACTGTCACAGAACCTGGGATGGAAGTGACACAGCCAGCCCAAGACACAGCTACTGCTGCGTGAGCCAACACTAGATGTCACTTGCTGCTCAGCCGACACACAACACCAGCTAAGGAGAAGGCACAAAAGGAGGGCTTCTAGAGCTACCAGGCAGGAGGCAACCCAAAAGTACAGGCAGAGTGCAAGCACTAAGTGGGTATTTCAGAGTCTTTATGGTGTGCTCCTCCCTGCCTGAGCCAGTGCCAGTCCTGTCCTACCTCCCTCTGCATGCCAATTCCCACTCATGAAATACAAAGAGTCAAACCTGCACTGCCCTCTTTGTTCAGCTTTTGGATTCCTGTGTGGTTCTGTCTCTACTACTCCCAGGGGTTTTCATGATGGCTGCATGGCTCTTAGCTCCAGCTTCATTAGCACAGCCCTCTTCAGCATCCTTTCATTGTCAGCCAGCTCAGGCCTCTCCCTAGCCAGCCTACTCTCTCCCCCTCTTGGGCCAGTTTTCTCCCAGAGACCACAAGACCTCACTCAAGAAGCCAAATCGCCTCCATTTTCTCCTAAACTTCATTCTCATATCATGCCTAGTATGTACAGTGTCACTTTGCAGCCTGCTCAGCCAGAGCTCACCTTCTCTCAACACTTCACAGGTATCACTATACACTCACAGCTCTGTGGGTACATAAGGAGCAGCAGAGACAGAAAAAGCAGCAGCTCTACAGATGTCCTGCCTGAACTCTCCCAATTTTCAGCTCTGCTGCAGATATGGTTATTAGTGCTGTAACACCTATGGCCCCCGGCCATGACCAAACCACATAAGGTGCCACAGAATCACACAGACACATACAAGCTCTTCATCACAAGGAGGCTCCGTGCTTGCCTTTAATCACAGGTAGTCATCAATTGCATCCCTTCCCCTGCTCCAAACTCCTCCACAATCTCCTGCATGTCAGAGGCCAGAACATTCTTACAGCTGCTCCCACAGCTGTAGGGCATCAGTTACTAGAGACAAACACAGGAGAATGCACACAGCTGTGATGCAAGGAAGACAAACTAGTCCTAAAATCCTGGTCTGAGAAGGTATGGATTTGTCACTTCAGGTCAAGTCTGCTATTTTCCTAGAAGTTTGTAGAAATTTACATAGTTATAGAAATTTTGACTAAGCCGATGTTGAGTGACATGTGCTTGAGGAGCTGAAACAAAGGCACAACTCGGGACAACTACAGGGCTGACAGAGCCCAAGTCCTCCCTCTCTGTGGTCTGTCAAATGCTTTAGGGGCCAGCCATCTCCCCTTACACTAGCCAAGGTCAGCTGAGCACTGTCCCACCAGAAGAGCCAAGAAAGGCAAGAGAGACTTTTTTCACCCTAGAGAAGGTAAGGGCATAGTTGACACAGGCTAGAAAGCATCAGCAACAACCCTGGTATTTCTGTCCTAGTGGGCATTTCCCACCCCCTTATAGACTGGGGGAGACAGAGAGAGGGAGAGCTGGAAGCACAGCTTAATGGCCATTAATCCTTTTCTTCAGCAATAAATCCACAGCTTCAATGTCACTGTCAACTCCTGCTGCCCAGAGTAATCCTAAGGCAAAATCCACAGCTGAATCAGCAGCAGGGAGTTCCTGGGGCAGGTGGGAGAGAGGCTTGGGTAAATCAGAAGCAGAAGTCAGACAAGCTGGGAGGCTTGGTTCATGGCCAGATCAAACCCAGCAGCTCTCAGCACAGAGGACTTGATGCAAAGGGAACACTTCTCCCTGCACACCCCCAGGGAAGCATGTGAAACACAACAGACAAATGTTCACTACACCACCTCAGCATCAAGAAGTAACTAAGGCGCCTTTTGCTGCTGATAAAGGTTTTACCTAACCTGGCTGCTTTTGCATTGTAACAGATAAGGAAACAGTTGCAGGTCACATTCCCTCACCTAAACTGATGGCTGGTGGCATCCAGTAGTGCAAGTTCCCCCAGCCAGTCCCAAAAATGCTCCCACCAGCAGGAATCCAGGAGATTTCAGCCCCAACTGCCCAGGACCCCTGGTACCCCAGAGGAGCAGTGGTGTCCATGCACCCCAGCCCACCTGGGTTAAGTGGCTCACTTCCCAGGCCCAGCTGCGAGGTCAGGCACCCCAGCGGTAAAGGCTCTCATTTAAGAGAAGGATATTTGAACCACCGGGACGGTACAGCAGGAGCACAGAAGTGGTAGTGTCCAGGAGCTGTCTAGGCTAGAAATATCACCGGAGGAGCTCTAGGGGTGAGTACCAAAGGCAGCAGGATGCCTGCTCCATCTGCCAGCATCCACATGTCCACCGAAGCTCACCGGGAGAGGGAAAAGCCTCAGACCCACCTTAACCTAGGCCGAAGTGCTGCAGCCAAGCCCGGCTTCGTCCGCCCCTCGGGCGGGGGCACTGAGCGCTCGGGTGCGGGCGGTGCCTGACAGACACCCCCAGCCCCAGGCACCCGCGGCTGTTCACGCCTCTCCGAAGGCAGCGGAGGTGGCTCTGTGCGGCTGCCCCGGGTGGGAGCACAGGCGGCCGCTCCCTTCGCCAGGAGACAAAGGGACACACAGCCCCGGGCCAGAGGAGAGGCCGCCGGTGCCCACGCAACTGCCGAGCGGAGACCGAGGGCAGAACGGGACTGGACGGACGCTCGCCCGCCCGGGGATGGTGCCGCAACAGCGGGACAGCCCACGGGTTTGGAAGGGATGCCGAGGCCCCGACGGCGCCCAGCACGGCTCTGCACTCACCTGACTCCGCGGGTCAAGTCACGCCCAGCCCGCACCCTGGGCCGCCCCGCACCTTTAAGGGCGGCGGCAGGAAGCGGCGCGGAGCCGCAGCCGCCCCGGTGCCAGCCCCGCAGTGACCCTCGGGAGCGGGCGGCCGCGTGCGGCGCCGGGCCGGGCCGACCCGGGCCGGGCCGCCCCTCCCCTCCCCGCCGGCCCCCGCCCTCCCCTCCCCCGCCAGGAAGCGGACCATCCCCGCGGCCCCGGCCCAGATGAAAGCGGAGCGGGCCGGGGGTCACTTCCAAAGCTAAAGTGATAATGGCCATTGTGCCGCCGCCGCCGCACTTAAAGGGCCCGCCGCCTCGGGCCGCCCTGTCCCGCTGCGCCCCGGAGCGCCCAGGCGCCCTGCACCCCAAAGCATCCTTGCAGCCCCATGGTGGTGGAGCCCACTGGGGCCACGGGGCGGGAGCTGGGCGCCCGCGCGGGGCACCCATCGTTTCCCACTGGGAGCAGGCAGGTCCCAGGTGGGTGTCACTGCAGTCCAAGGGTTGGCACAGCCTGTATGTGTGTCTGCTCCCTTCTCCCGGCTTGCTTCTGATGAGGCCACGGTCCTTCCATCCCGCTAGCTAGGAGATGCCCTTTCCTCTTCTCCTTCCCAAATGGTGCCCCTTTCACCAGCCAGGCCAGGCTGGTGGGACCCCTGGGCTTCTAAGGCAGACATTCTTATCTGTCGGGGGGGGCACCCAAATGACAGAAACCTTTTCCCTGTCCACAGCTCTGGGCAGCCTCCCGGACAGCCTCACATCTGCCTGCTGGTGCCTGGGCCCTCAGTGGAGCTGTCCTCCCTATTATCTCTGCCCTGCTGCCTCTTCAGCCTAATCTTAGGGCCGAGGTCCCCCTCCTTAACTCCCGCTCTCACAATGGCTTCATCCTGTTTCTTGGGCATCACGTGAGGCTGTGCAAACAGCCAGCACATCAGGCACTTCGCTCCAGCATCTCTCCAGCATTGCAAAGTTGTCAACACCACCTCCACCCTATGGTCTCTTCACATGTCCAGAACTCTAGAGCTTCCTCCAGAACCTGTCTACCACCTACACCAACCTACACCACCCCAAAACAGGAACCCAAGGAGCCCATTTGGTCTTGGGTGTGAAACCTGGGTGCATTTTAATGACAGGGGTCATACTTTGGCCAAGAGGTTGGAATATTCGCTGCGTCAGTGCTTCATGTCCCCTGTGTGTGTGTAGCTCTGGTTGCAGGCAGTATCTATTTTCCTCTCCCCAGCCTATCCCTGGGGACCAGCCTGAAATCTGCCACAATTGCCCCAAAGCCAGTGAGAGGCACAAAGTAACTCCTGATGCCAGAGATAGCAAGGGCTTCTTGCCTCACATGCCTCTGCCCTTGGGGAGCCTCACTGTGGCACTCATTTCTGCTGCAGCATTTGGCAATGAGACGGCAGGAGGGCTCACAGAGACCCCATGTATAGGATTCCTGTGCAATGCAGGAAGCCACTAAACAGAAATTTCAAAGGGTAAATGTGTCCAGCTCCCTCTCCTGCTGCCTTCCCTTCCACCGTAGTCCAGGGGCAAGCATTGCCACACAAATCAAGGCATACCTTCACTGCCCAGAAGCACATATCCCAGAGCATTTTTTCCCACTTCTCTTGTCTCACATTTGATCCCAGGAATGCAGGGGGAGACCAGGCAA